AAAAACAATTTACAAAACATCTTTTGATTTTCCTTCTGATAAGATTTGTTTTGCTAAAAAAGTTGTCTGTGTTCCCTTTCTCCTAAGAGACAGGTGATGTAGGAATAGTTTCTAGCCACCAACGCTAGAAATCTGGAGGTAGTATTGGAGAGATCGCAAACAAAGCAGTGAACCTACTCTACCTTGGGTTTCATCGTCAAATGCTAACCATTTTTTCTTGCTTACTTTTTTCTCCAAGGATCTGACAAAATTCACCAAGTACTGTGTTCACAGAACACAAGATAAAATCACAAAACATAGGTTAGATTTCTCTAATATAAAAAGGTGCTTATGAAAAAATGAGAACTTTCTGGTCTGTAAGTAGCACAGAAAGGGGTTCAGAAATAGTGACAGCTGCTCTTTCTTTAACATAGGGAAGGGAATGACCTCAGAGTAAAAGTGAAACAAAGAAAGCAGACCTACACAATCTGTAGTGAAGAACAAAAAATCATTAAAATATGCTTGAACTTAAGTTCTAGGGACATGCTTTTATTCTTGTCCTGTCCTTTCAACACACATGCCTAGCTCAATCCCTTTAGAGCAACATGGAGGTTGGGCTACCCATAATCCTTGTTATATAGACATAGAGTTATATTTGGAAACAGATGCACACAGATGCTCAGAAGGCAATGTGGAATCATCATGCAAAAGAAAGATACCTGTAATGTATAGATATGGGTTGAGTAGATATATTTGGGGGGAGTGGTGAATGTCAAATTCTTTTCCTTCCACTCTCAAATTAAGAACCAATTCATAGACACAGAGAAAGGATAAGAAGTACCAACTTATAACTGTTAAAATTGTTTTAGGAAATAGGAAGTAGGAAGGTTGTCATTCTTGATTTCTTGATGGTCCTATTTAAGTATATGCATGTATAAATGCTCCTATCCCATGAAAGGAGAGAGAATGCAGGTTAATTTACCAGAAGCTCTGCCCCATGGAAATAGTGTGAGAGCGAAGTGGAAGACACTGATTCCCCCTTCCCCTGCAAAAGAGAAAACTACAATATGCAGTTGATTAGGGATGTTATCTTTGGAAGCTTCTCCAACCTCTTGTCCTTCCTTTCACTTTATCTGGTGGAACCCAGGCCCTCACACTCACTTGTTGCCTAGTGCTTTATCACGGAGGCACACCTCCAGCTTTGTATGTAGGGTTTTTAACTTTTATTTTTATTTATTTATTAAATATATATGTGTATATATATATATATATATATTTAACATTCTGACCACAGTTTCCCCTCCATCATCTCCTCCCAGTTTTAAGGTAGAAAATGCATAGGTCACTGTAGCCTCTTGAAAGATCCTTGGTTCAGAAGGAAACTAGAGAGTAAGTACTGTGATCACGAAAATTGTAGTCAAACATTAGTTTTTTAATAGGAAATTTTAAAAGAGCTCATAGGACCACTGGTTTAGTCTTCTTCCTTCCCAAAAGGTAAACTGATGAGTAAAGTTTAAATGAGTTCAAAGTTTAAATCTTAAACATTATTTTAATTTATGTATTTAAATTATTTCATATATGTATATGATGCATTTTGAGTCTTTCATTCCCAGCTCCCCCTAACTACTCAGGAATACATTCCCAAGCCAATTCTGTATCTTTTTAAATAACCCATTAGGTTCCATTTGTACTGTCCATGTACTCATGCACACCCATCCCCTGGAGCACACTCAGCCTGCCAGGGGCCACACCCTTAAAGAAAATGGACTCTCCTTCCCCCAGCAGCTAATAGCTCCTCAGTTAGGGGAAGGGGCTCGGTCCCTTTCCACTCTCCATGTTGGAATGTTATCAGGCTTGATCCTGTATTATGCAGGGAAAGGGGGTGGAAACACTTTACCTGGCCTCTTTTAGCTGTTCCATTTTCGATCCTTTGTTGTCCTCCTTGACTTTTAAATATTAGCATAATAGTTTAAACATATTTTTTATATTTTTAATATTGTGTGTGCATGTGAGTACAGGTACCCATGATGGTCAGAGGTGTGGGATCTCCCTGGACAGTTACTGTTGGTTATGGATTGCCAGACATGGGTGCTGGGAACCGAATTTAGATCCTTTACAAGAGTGCTAAGCATGCTTAGCACTGAGCTATGTCTTCAACCCCTAGCATAATATTTTTAATTATTAGTATGATATAGGATTCTATATAAATCCCCTTTTCTTTCTTCTTATTTTAATTTCTCCAAGTGAGATTATCTCTTCCAAGTAGATTTAATTACATGCCAAATGTGTTATTTATTACCAGTCACCACTCCTCTGTTGTTATGCAGTTTTCTGTTTCTACCTGCATATTAGAGTTTCCACTTTTTTTATATACACAGCAATTTCACATAGAGTGAAGTCATCATCTGTGTTATGGCTCCAGTGTGTGTGCAAGACTACATCTGACAAGTGTTCTCTATTGCTGTAGTCTTATTTGATTCATCTCTAACCTCAAGCCTTTGCGGGTGCACACGTGTGTGTGTGTGTGTGTGTGTGTGTGTGTGTGTGTGTGTATGTGTGTGTGCACATAATGTCCAAACACTGCCTAGGGGTTTGTAAATTACAGAGGAATCCAAGAAATCAAGTAGCTCAACTCTTACAATCTTATAGAAGAGAAAAGTGACTTGGTTAATACCACATTGCTAATTAATGGTATAACTAGCTTAGAGTTTGGTTTTCTCACGTCAGGCAGGGTGGTACATGCTTGCTCTTCCAGCACTGGAGAACTGTGAATTCAAATCTAGCCCTCCACTATACAGTAAGACTGTAAAAAAGGTAAAAATTAAAGAGCAGTGTTTTTTTTCTATTCAGTAAAGTAGAAAGATGTCTCCATTATATGCACAAGATGCCTCCTGTTTCTGCATTGTTTATGTAAAGAACAAAGTAATTCATCATCTTTTCCTTTAGTGCTGAAAAGGAGAAGATGAAGAACCCAATAGCACTGTGGACTATGGTTTGGAAAGAAAATAGTTTGGTTCAAGGCTAGCTCAGGGCCTTGCTTCATTTTAAAGGAAGAGAAGACTTTTTCTTTTTTTTTTTCTTTTCCAAAGTGTTTTCATATGTATTACTTCATCTTAGTCTCTCAGAGGCAGGAGAGTCAGAACTTGTTAGCAAAAGTTTACAGATGAAGAAAATAAGACTGGAAAGACTGGGCTCAGTGATTTGTTCAAGGCCACTCTAATTAGTGACAAGGCCAGGGCTCAGAAGTATGTCTCCTGTTTACAGATACCTTCAAGTCTTAGACCCGAAATTCTAGTAGTCCTTGGGTAGTGATCATACACCCTGGAAACTGAACTTTATAGATTTCTAAATGTGAACGTTGAGATCTGCTGAGTTGCACTAAGTTAATTCGGTGATAAGAGTGATTGTCTAGCAGTCTGAAAAGGCCCTGGGTTCAATCCCTAGCAATGTATGTGTACATGAACACACATATCAACAAATTGTTTCCATTCCTAGTATCAAAAACATTAATATTAAAAGAGGGGCAAAGGGATAAATCTAAAGGTAGAACACTTGCCTGTCATGAACAAGGCCCCAGGGATATCTATCTTTAGTGCCATTTTTTAAAAGGGATCAGCAAATTGAGATGGCATCGTCTGATTTCTAGTAACCTGATCAAGGTGTTTTTGGTAGGTGTGTCTAAGTGTTGGAGCGTGGCTTCTTATGTGGGCCATCTCTAAGAGCATAAAGCAGACGATAACCATCTGAATGACCACCGTGAGAAATTCCCTTGGTATGCTGGGACACAGAGCAGGCAGCAGGGTGTTTAAGAAGCAGTGAGGAAGTGAAAGCAGAGAGTAGACACCTGAATTGTAGAAAGCTTTCCGGTGGAGGGAAGGGACCCGAGACCTTTTGCCTGTTAGGAGAAGAAATTGCATAGGAAATGGGAAAGGACACTCAACAAGCAAGACAAAGTAAGAATGACCTGTTGATTCAGCATTGACTTGTCAACACTTTCCCCGCTGGTGTGAAGCCCTTTAGAAGGTGACTTCCCACTTGTGGCTGCTGAGAAAACACCCCCTGAGAGGGGAGATAAACTGCTTAGGTCAAGACTGGGGTATCAGCATCGGATGAAGTACCAAATTCATCTCTCAGGGCAGTTACTGTAGCTGTTAGGCCTATACCAAAGGCCGGAGAAGCAAGCTCAACTCCCAACAGATGATTGGCTAGGTTTCAGGTCCTGTGTAAAAGCTGATTCTTCCAAGAGGCAGGCCATCAATTGACCAGCTGATCAATGGATGCTTTTTCTTTTGTGCTTGTTTTCTGCTAGTCATAACTTTACAGATCCTCTCTGTGGGGCAAGTGCAAGGCAGTGCCTGGCTGCCTGGGACAATCACAGCACTCCCATAGACACCAGCAGGGAGCTAGCTTGTAGCTGAGCCTGAGCAGGACCATCCTCAGTGTTCCTTTATTTAAACTATGCTCCTAGGCAGTGTTCCATAATGACTCCACACAACTAGTGTGTACATGGAGCAGCCTACAAGCACAACTCCACTAAATCCGCTGGTCCTGAGTGTTCTTTACTTTCCACCTCTGTAGGCAAGGTCCACAGATTAGCAGCCCTGTACCCACCCCCATTTCCCAGGACCTGTCTCTCAGGACCTTCTGAAGAAAAAGGCACTCAAGAAAGACATGAAGGCGCTAATCAGAAAAGTGCACTCGGCCACGAGGGCCATGCACACTGACTTTCACCTCGGTTTGCTTGGACTGAAGGAGGGGCGGGGAGCTCCTCAGTAAAGAGGAGGACCAAAGAGGGGGGCCTACTTGAATGAAACAATGTAACAATTGATGTGAGGCCTCGCCTTGCTCCCACTCCTCAGCGATCCTATAGGCGAGGACCCAGTGCCTGCCCCTCCCCATTGCTCCGTTTTCTTGTCCATTAAGCACTATCCCTCCGCCTCTCTTTCCTTCTTTTCTTTTTCCCCCTTTCTTCCCCCTCCCCCTCTCTCCAGCTCCGTGTCATTTCCTCCTAGGGCTCACTAGCTGCCTGAGCGTCTCCGGCCGGGAGAGTAGGCGGAGCGGGGCGGCGCAGCGCTGGAGGACGGTGGTGGCGGAGCTGCTGGGGGCGGAGGCTCCGTAGCCCCCGCGGAAAAGGAGCCCGGCGGCGCCTGCCGAGCCGAGCCGAGGATGGAGAGCCGGCCGGGGTCCTTCCAGTACGTCCCGGTGCAGCTGCAAGGGGGGGGCGCCCTGGGGCTTCACCCTGAAGGGGGGCTTGGAGCACTGCGAGCCACTCACGGTGTCGAAGGTAAGGAGCGGTGGCTCGCTCCTCACGGCGTCCAACTTTGAATGGGCTAGCGGGTGCGCAGACTGCGCGGGTGCGGGCCTCAGCCCCACTTGGCGACTTGGCCGGCCGGGGCCCGAGGGGCTGCAGCCGCATTGAGGGGGTCCTGCTGCGGGAGCAAACTGCAGCTCAGTGTGGCTGGAGGATGGGACCCGAGCCACCCGGCCCGGCCGGAGCTTTGCGCGCAGTCACACTCGCGGGAAACGGGGGTGGGGGGTGGGGGCGATCCCCCCACCCCACGACGAGGAGGCCACTCACCTCAGTGTGGGCTGCAGGAAATGGCGGCTGCTGGGGGTTCTCCTTGCCTCGGAGGCCCCTGCGCCCCGCAGGACAGTGAGGGGCTGAGGGCACCGGCGGCGGGGCTCGGCGCTAGCTCTGCCTGGGGCTGTCCTGCCTGAGGCAGGTTGCTGGGCTAGGGTCTGGCGCAGAGCTGGGGGGGGGGGGGAGATGAGGCATTGCTGGCTTTTCTCAGCCTCTTGTCCCGCAGCCGGACGCACACACGCCCGTCCAGCGCCGGGGCGTTGCTGCTGCTGCCGGTTTCACTCGGCCTTTCCCTCCCTCCCGAGTCCTGCCCCGCGCCCGCCGGCGAGATTTCTTGCACGCTGAGAAGTGTGGAGGGAACTTTTGTGCCATGGAGCACAGCTGTACTGAAGCGGCCACTAGGGTCGGTTTGATTTAAGAGCCTGTGATCAGCTGGAACCAAGTTGCGTTGCAGCTAGAGGCCAGGGGAAAGAAGCACTCCCAAGAGCCCTGAAACCTCCAAACCAGGGTGTCTTGAGTGAGGGTGGAGGATGGGGGCAGTTGGGGCTGTTACTGGGAGAGTGACTTGCAGGACGACTCACCTTGAAGCACGAGATTGCCAGGTGGAGGGACTTCCTGAACTTTAGCCCACTTTTTGTTGTCGTTAGTTTCTCTTACAGATAGCTCTCTCTAGCTCTTCCAAGCCACTCTGACTGCAGCTGAGATTGTAGATGGCGGTTTTGGCGGGAGGTGGAAAGATGTAGCTTTTTTTAAGGTAACAATGTGGCTATAGGGATTCCTGTTTTTCCATGTTGTTAGCATAGCAGATGGGCTCTGGGAATTACTGCCCCCCCATAATAACTAATGTTGCTTTCTCCCTGCATTGGGATGGCGCACTAGTTAACTTGTGTGGCTGTTTGTTCTTCAGGTGTTGGGGCAACCTTAAAGTGTTGCTCATGTGTGAACCAGTCAGCTCTGGCTGACTGAGGTATATTGAGGCAGTATTTTGGGGGTATTGGAAGGGACCTCGAGAGGATCTTCAGCCTCCCCAAACTTAGGCGATGTTTATCCAGTATTTCTAACCAGACTGAGATAGATGCCTTTGTGATCTACCCTCACATCCCTCTCTCAAGCAAACTACTTTTTAACAACAAAACTACCATCAAACAGCCCCAGTGGAGAGGGGGTACCCTAGCCTTGAAGAATTTCTTCTAATCAAACTCCTTCCCCTCTCTTCCCACCAAGGTCACAATGGGCTATGCAGCCCTCGGGAGTCTGGCAAGTTCCTCCCTTTCTTTTCCTCCTTGGGCCGCCCACAGAATTTCCAGTGTGCCTAGACAACCTGCCCTGGAGAGGTCATTTTTGAGCTTTGTCCGGGCTGACCCAACCTGCTAGGCATCTCTGAGAGTGCTTGTTGCTGTGGTCCTGAACTATTTTGTGAACCCATAGGAGCATGGCAGGGGGTGTTACTAAGTATGGGGCAGCCAGCAATTTGTGGTCTGGCTTGGGGATTATTTGAGGATAGATGAGGGTTTTCTTGGCCATGCTGTTAAGGAAATACCTTGTGTATGGAGAGGCAGGGTGCCTTTTAATGGTTCCCTTTCTGCTGAATGTACAGTTGGCCCCTATTATGTACAGGTTCATTATTACACATGGATATGCAGGAGGTAAAATCAGTGTACTCGTTCCTCCCAAACAGCCTGGCTCCTTAGAGTAAAAGTCAGGTATGACTGGGTTAGCTGGGATGTTACATAAAGGGGACTTTTTTTCAGTATAATGTTTGCCTGCATTTTCTTTTTCCTTTTAGCAAGATACGTTTCACTGATCCCATTTTTATTTTCTACTTTAGTACATTTATTTTTCATGAGACATTTCATTAATCCCATTTTCTTTTTTCTACTTTAGTGCGTTTCCTTTTATGCTTCAGGATAATACAGCTCTCCCCCCCCCCCACGTGCGTATCCACTGGTGGGTTTGGGCTAGACATAGAATTGAAGTGGTAAATGAAAAATACTTGGATTCTAACCCTTACATTGTCATTCTTTGTTCTGTAATCCTGGGACTAGCATTGTCTTCCTTGGGCCCGAGCATCCCTAAGTCTAAAATGAATTTGAAGTGGGCAGTCTTTAAATGACACTATGATGGTTTTGTAGTGAAGCCATTGTCCTAGCCCTGGTACTCTTTTCACCAGAACTGCTATGTAGTCCGTGAGGAAGATGACTACTTCATTTGCATCTGATGCTCCTGTGGATAGTATGCTTCTCATGCCTTCATCAGCCCATCACAGCCACGATGTGAGGCCGTCAGGGCAGGTTACAGAGCATCTGATGGAAAAACTGACTCTGTGCTGCATCCAGTGACTTGCTTCAGTCTGTCAATGGCAGGCTCTAGCCTATTCATGTTTTGTGGCCTAGAGAATATCTTGACTCTTGTGGTAGTACTCCAGTTTGTGAGCAACATTGACTAATAAGTTTCAAGGATATATTTAGTCTTGTCAGCCTCTAACGCCAGTAATGCTTTCCATGCCATGAAGTCTTCCATGGTGACTGTGCTTTAGGTATATGCTAATGAATTCTGACCTCAAGGAGGTGGGGAAAGCCGCTTTTAGTAACTGAATAACTTAGGCTTGTGAAAAACAGAAGAGCCAAGAGCCATGGTGCAAAATGGCAACGGGCCTCCTTTGGTGCTGGGGAAATACAAAAGTAGTTTGGGCTTAGGATGATGTGTTGCACCTGCTTGGGAAAGGCAAAGACATCAGGGAGATGCAGAAATTCGAGGAAAGGTGATTGGTGCGAGGAGAAGGCATGGAATATGAAAGCTTACTTTCCATTTGTCATTGACAAACCTTTTGACCAGGAAATGATGAGGGTGGAAAAATCATCAGTGGAACTAGTTATTATGGATTCCCAGATATGAAGAATTTGGCTGCCTGATTTATGGAGACTTGTATATCTGTCTGTTGTTAATCAAGTGACAACAATAAGACAATAAGTTAAAGCCCATTGTATTGATTATCACAAGTTTTAAGGGGTAGTTTATGAATTTTCCATATGCTATAATAGTACTGCTGAAGTCATGATAAATGAAAGAAGATGACCACGAGGGAGTGGTCCTATGGCCTTAACATTATTAATTTATTTGGCTAGCTTCTCATACTAGACCACTGAGGGTATTGCTGGATGAAATTGGACATTCTCGTCTAATCAGGTGTGTCGGTTTTACTGCGAGGGGCCTTGCTTGTCTACAGTATAGACAGTTGTCCATGAAGTTGACATTCTGCATTGGAAAATGATTTTTTGGGGGGAGGGGAGTAAGTGAACTTTGCAAAGTCTGGCACTAATGAATCTGTATCATATAGGACCTCTTAGAGGCCTCTGAGACTCAAGCAGTATCCTTCTTGTGTGTGTGGGGGCATGGAAGACATAGAAGGAGGGAAAAACTGAACTGCAGCCTAAGGTTCCTGTGTTAATTTCATGTTTTACAAATGTGTCTTGAAGTTAAAGAAAAGAAAGGGTGGGGTCCAGTGTCAGGATGAAGGCAAAGGAAGAGGAAAACGGGTGAAAAGAACAGGACAGAAGACTGTGCTCACCCTACATATTTGCTCTTTTTTTGGCCTGCTTTTTGGAAGGTGTCTTCAGTTTGGCACAGTGAGGCAAGCAGGAGCTAGTGACTGTTCTCTAACACAGTAGGGTGGAGTGGGAGAGGAGGCTGCAGGACTACATTATGTCATGGGTAGCCCTCTGTCATTTTACCCCTGTTAGATCTGAGTGGCTATTTACAAAGTGACACTAGGCATACCTGCCTCCTCCTCATCATCACAGAGGATATGAGAATGAATTTGATAAACCATTTGCTATCTTTGACCTTGTATATACGCAGGGCCTTCTCAAAGTTCTTTGTAAGCTTCACTACTCTCCTACCCTGCCCTTACTTTTACACATACAAAAAGAGGGAGTTGAAACTTTAATAGAGGTCTCAAACAGTCAGATTGAAGTTTTCTTGTCACTGGAGGCCAATTTGGCTGGGACTGTGAGCTCTTGTTGGATGCAGAGGTTATATGAGCAATGATATACCTATCAGATCGTTTCATCTGCCTAACAGGTCAGACCTAGCCCCACCCTCATCAAGGGCCTGGCAGTCCTCAAGGTATCTTCACAGAGTATGGATTATATGAGATGAATACAGCCTGATTACTTACATGAATTCATCTCTGATGTTTCCCATTAGAATCTATAAAGAAACCTATTGCTTCAGTTCCATGACTTCTGCCTTCTTCCAGAAAGGACACAGTATACAGGGGCATGGAATAGGAATCTATCTAAGGATATAAGAGGAAGGCAGAGTAAGACGCTTGTATAGTATGTCTTGTACAGCTTAGCTAACCCTTTGCATACATAGGCTCCTAGGCCCTGTTATATGTAACTTACATTCATAGGATTTTAGGTCTGTCATGTATGCCCAGTACCCTGCTGATAACCACATGTTTGTTCCCTGAAGGAAAAGGGGCCATGCCTGTCACAGGATTTTCTCTCCAAAACCCCAAAGACAATAACTCCAGCTGGAAGACACTTGAGCATTGTTCTTTAAACAGTTCATATGTTTCCCCCTTGCTTTTCCCAGAACCCTCCCCAGGAATTTCTTTAAAGAGAAAAAGAGACAGTTTCGGACAGAGACTACTAGTTATGGGGCAATTATCATGAGAGGACATGATTGTGTTTATAGTT